TTTTTTTCGGAAAGAGCTGTGCTGTGTCCCATTGTGCTGAGAATTTGATTCATTTGTGCAGATGAATTTTTCAATGACTACAAAATTATTAAGACTTAGGTGCTGACATGACATTTTCCACTCACTTGTCAGAGGCCCTTCTGCAACTTGTTCTGTAGAACAGCAAGTCCCCTCCTCACCTCTTCCACGAAGTTGAAACTTCTAAAATCCAGGAGCAAAAATCACCCGGATTTTCTGCCTGCCTGTGCGGAAAGCGAGCCGCCTCTCGGATGTCTGAAGCGTTGGAAGATCTCGGTGTGCCTATCACGTTTAACCCACAGTGACGGGTGATTGGCATCGTAAGAGCTGAGCGACAGCCATTTGGCTGGTAGTTCAAACCCCAACACGAGGAGCCATCGCAGGATCACGGCTTGATTTGCTGTGGCCACAACGTCTGCATCGCCGAGCACAGAGGCGGAGGCAGAGGTGACAGCTGGTAGCCATTCTCCTCAATAAAGTTGTGATGGTGGAGATGCCTCAGCAACCAGATCCTGCTAATTTCACAGACTCTGAGCCAAGTGCTTAGTGTCAAAACCGGCTATGGTCAACGATGCAAATGGCTGTGAAGGCGCCCTCGTCCACAGCAAGGTCTCCCCACAGACTCTTCCCCCTCTGGCGGGTTAGAAGCAATTGGGTCCTGCTTTCCAGCATCACTCTAGTTTGAGGAGAAGGAGGTCTTATCCTTTTTTTTTTTTAATCATTTATAGAGGCATTGTTTATATATAGTAAACTCAGACAGTTTGATAAAATTGGATGAACACATACAGTCAGGTAAACCCCCTCCACAATCAAGAACAAGAACATTTCTGAAAAGTTCTCTCCTGTCCTTTTTGTCATTAATCCTTCTTTCCCCCACTCTCACTTCATGGTGGCCACTAATAGGTTTTCTGCTCCTATAGTTTTGCCTTTTCCAAAATGTCATATAAATGGAATCAAATAGTATGAAGACTTTTCCGCCTGGCTTCTTTCACTTAGCACATTGCTCTTGAGATTCATCAGTTTATTCTTTTTCATTGCTGAGCAGAATCGCAGTGAACGGAGGTACCACAGTTTTGTCCATATACCAGTTGAAGGACATTTGTTCCCAGTCCTTGGTGGTTATGAATAAAGCTGCTATACACATTCACATCTTTATCTTTTTTAGAAAAACTTATAGAAAATGAAATAACTTTATAAGAAACCAGAGCTGTATGAGCAATTTACACTTTATTCAAAGCACGTTCACTCACCTTATTCCTATAATTACCATAGTAACCTTGAGAACTAGGCTAGGGATCTTACCCCATTTTATAGATGCAGGCTATGAAACCTCCCTGCAGTCCAGACTGCTCAGCTCCTCATCAGCTGTCCTTCCCCTGAAACATTTTCTGAACATCCTGTCTGTGCAAAACACTCTGCTAGATGCTTTTGGGGTAGTCATAGAAACAACATAAAAATTGATTTTTTTTTTTCCCCTACAAAGGGAAACAGTTTGATATTCCACATTATATGTCATCAGGATAATGCAAATTAAAACCACAAGATACCAGTATGACCCTTATTAGGATGGCCCACATCTGGAACACTGACAAACCAAATGCTTGTGAAAATGTGAAACAAGAGGAACTCTCATCCACTGCTGCTGGGAAAGCAAAATGGTATGGCCAGCCACTTTGGAAGACAGGGTATAGTTTCCTAGAAAACTAAATGTACTCTTATCATATGATCCAGTAGTTGCCCTTCTTAGTATTTATCCATACAAAAGCCTGTAAACAGGCGTTTAAGGTGGCTTTATAACTACCAAAATTTGGAAGCAATCAGGATGTCCTTGTGTAGGTTAATGGATCAATAAATTGTGGTAGATCCAGACAATGGAATATTAATGCTAAAGAGAAATGAACTATCAATTCATGGAAAGACTTGAAGGAGCCTTAAGATACACATTACTAAGTGAAAGCAGCCAATCTGAAAAGGCCACAGACTGAGTGATTCCAACTATATGACATTCTGGAAAAGGCAAAACTATGGAGATAGTAAAAGGATCAGTGGTTGTCAGGGGTTAGAAGGGAAGAAGGATGAGTAGGTGGAGCACAGAGGATGTAGGGTAGTGAAACTACTCTGTAGGGCACATAATGATGTATACATGCCAGTATGCATCTGTGCCGACCCACCGAATGTACAACACCAAGAGTTAACCCTCCTGTAAGTCATGGACTTTGGATAATTATGTCATGTTTATGTAAGTTCATCATTTGTACCTGATGTACCACTCAGGTGGGGGATGTTGATAATGGTGGATGGAGGCTATAAATAGGTGCGGGCAGAGGGTATATGGGAAACCTCTGCACCTTCCCTGAAGGTTTCTGTTGTGAACCTAAAACAGCTCTAATAAAATAAAATAAAATAAAATAAAATAAAATAAAATAAAATAAAATAAAATAAAATAAAATAAAATAAAATAAAATGTCTTGAAAAAGGTGGAGGAAGTGGGAGGAGTCTCAAATGGAGCCAGGACCAACACACCTGCCTGAGCCTTGAAAGAGGACTCAGCCGGGGCCAGCTGACACAGCCACAGGGAGCAAAGGGTCTACGAACCATGTGAGAAGCAGTCAGGGCCTCAAGTATAAGAAATAAGTCCCACCTTAAGCTGATGCGAGCCAGAAGAGCGCAGCCGACCCTAGATGCCTGAAGGGAAGGGGGATTCCTCCAGGTGGAGCTGTTCCAGGTCAGGCAAGAAACTGATTTCTAGGATAAGGGTAAGCCTCCCTCTTAGCTTCCAAGTTCGAGAAAGCAATTACCGGGCAGGACCAGCTTTGAACTCAGTCAAAGTTTGGCTGGGATAACACCTGGAGTTAAGTAATGCAGAATCAAAGTGGAAAAATGCTCTCGTAGGCCTGAAATTACTAGATTTGGTTTGTGTGGAAGCCAGGATTTATGATGCAGTTGAAGGGGGCGATATGTCAATGAGATTCTAGTCTTTAAGAAAAATTTCACTTTTTGCAAGGCCGCTTTTGCCAGTTGGACCTCCCACAAGTTGGCTTCTTTCTGTTCTGATAAGATGGCTGCTGACCAGCTGTCACTCCAGCCAGAAACCACACTGGCTCCTTGTGCAATCCACCAGCAGCAGTTAGGAGGGTAAGGCTGGGCCTTTGGGCCTCATCTGTATGCGCCTTCACTGCCAGGTACAGTGGGCACCCTTTGCCAGCTCCATTATGAGGGCGGGAAAGCTTACCCAGCCTAGATCTCTAACCAGGAAATCTACTGAGACAGGGTCCCTGTGGTCAACAGTGCTGGTCTGTCCTCTGGTGGGTCATTGCATGCCAGGCCAGGCAGGCCTCCTCTTGCAGCAGCCCAGGCAAGTGAAAGAAAGTCTGATTTTTTTTTTTTTTTACTTGCATTTATAAAGGAAAAAAATAAAAGAAAAAATAGGAAGTAATGGTTTTTAAATGTTTGAATAAATGGGGCTGCACCATGTGATATTTAGGACTTTAGATTTTAGGGAAAAACTGCTTGAGTTTGAACCCTGACTCTGCCACTCTCCAGTTGTGTGAACTCCTGGGCAAGTCCTTGAACCTTCCTGTGTCTCTGTTTCCTCAGCTCTGAAATGGGAATAATAGTGGCCTCTACCTTTTAGAGTTACTATGAGGATTGGATAAGTTAATTTTTGTAAAGTTCTTAGGAAAAAGCATGGGGCCTAATAATCCATACATTTGTGTTTGTTGATAAAAAAAAAAAAAAAAATGATGGATATTTCCCTAGCTCCTGGTCCTAATTCTTCTCCCTCTCTCCAGGAAGCTGAATGCACATACCTGATCTTTTCTTCTTCTCTATTTCAGTCCTTAACATCTGTCAGCTCCCCCTCCTCATATTAGTTCTCTATGGCTATATTAACAAATTTCCCCAAACTCTTTAGTTTAAAATAACAAAAATGCATTCTCTCACAGTTTGTGTCAGCAAGGTGGGTTTCTACTGGAGACTCAGAGAGGATTCTTTTTATGCCTCTCTCCTAGCTTCTGGGGTTCCCTGCAGTCTTCAGCACGCCTCGGCTTGTAGGCCCATCACTCCCCTCTCAGCTTCCTTTGTCTCATGCATTCTCCCTGTGTCCCTCTGTGTCTTCACATGGACTTCTTTTTTGTTGTTGTAGTTAATCCTCAATGGATATTTTTCCATTGATTTTTAGAGAGAGTGGAAGGGAGGGGAGAGACAGGAAGAGAAAAGCATCGATGTGAGAGAGACACATCAATTGGTTGCCTCCCACAATCAGGTATGTGCTCTTGTCTGGAATTGAACCTGGGACCCTTCAGTCCTTGATTCGATGCTCTAGCCCCTGAGCCAAACAGGCCATGGCCAGGTGGACTTCTTATAAGGACACTAATCTTTGGATTTAAGATCCACTTTAATCTAGTAGTATGACCTCATCTTAAACTAACTACATCTCTGTGACAGCATAACTGGTTGTCAACCCACACCCACCTGTGCACAGGGCTGCACGTGAGAAGGAATGAAAAGGCGTGCCTGAGAGGCATAGATGTGGAGAGAAGGAAGAGACCTTGAGCCTATTTTTACTTTCCTGGTTCCCTCGTGGTGGCAACAGAAAAGGCAATAGGAAAGCCATCCAGTTGTCAAACAGGAGCCCTGGCCTGGTGCACTCATGACCTCTGTGTGTCACGCAGCTCCCTGTTTGACTAATGTGGTCACAGAGACAGAGAGGTTCCCGAATTACTCAACATCACCCAGCTAGGAGGGAGCCAGCCAGGACATGATTAATTCTCTTGTTCCCTACCATTATGCCCTTTCCAACCACGCTGTGTTAAATCTTAAAAATAAGCACCAAATCTGTTGAGATTCATCATTCTAGAGCCTCAAACCATAGGACAAATGTGGGTTTCCCTAGCCAGGTTGTATTTCCCAATTTGGTATTTCATCTATTATAGATATGGGAGCATAATGTTAAGAAGTTTCTCTTTTGTTTGATTCCACAGGGCACCCTTCAGGCCAAAGCAGTGATCCTCACCTTGTTGTCACAGGCGGCATCAGGGGAAGCACCCAGGTTCAAGATTGTAGTACGCCTGGAGACCATGGAGGTGAGGCCATTAGAAGTTGGGATGGGTGTCCTGTGGGACATTCCAGAGAAGGTTCTAGAACTGGAAATGATCCCCTGCTATGGACCTTCTGGCTGCCACTCTTTTTTTTTTTTTTAATTATTTATTTATTTTTTTACAGAGAGGAAGGGAGAGGAATAGAGAGTTAGAAACATCAATCAGCTGCCTCCTGCACACTCCCCACTGGGTATGTACCCACAACCAAGGTATATGCCTTTGACCAGAATCGAACCTGGGACCCTTGAGTCCACAGGCCAACACTCTAGCCACTGAGCCAAACCAGTTAGGGCTGCCACTCTTTTTTTCTATAGAGAACAACTGATTAAATTCAGAGGCAGCCTTGCAAGGACCCTGCATGATGCCTTCGCAGAAGAGGAGAGTGTAGACAGAGATAAGCTACTGCCTGCCCTGCTTCAACCTGTCCTCTCAAAGCACACATTCTTCTATCTGATTTACCTTAAGCTTTATGGAAATTTAGCTTTTTAGCCAGATCTTTCCATGATTATGACAGTGTACATAGACTTCAAACTAATTGAGAACATTCATTGAGGAGGAAGGACTGTAGAGCAAAAATGAAAACTTAGGTATCTGGTCTAAGCCCTCCCTTAATTAACATCGTTGTAAATGAAAGAATTGGACTAAATCAGTAGTGTTCAAACATTTTGAAAACACTGGAATCTCCCCTTTTGACAGTGTGAAAGTCCCTAGACTTCTGCTTGAAGAAGCAGCTATGAGCCCTAGCCAGTTCTGCTCAGTGGATAGAGCATCAGCCTGCAGACCAAAGGGTCCTGGGCTCAATTTCAGTCAAGGGCATGTACCTTGATTGCAGGCTCTTCCCCAGCCCGGGCCCTGGTGGAGGCATGTGCAGGACACAACTAATTGATGTGTTTTTTTTCACATCGATATTTCTATCTTTCCCTCTCTCTTAAAACCAATGGAAAAATATCCTCAGGTGGAAAATTAAAAAAAAAAAAAAAAAAAAAAAAAAAAAAGGAAGAAGAAGAAGTAACTGTGATTTCTTAAATATTACCTTTAATGCCAATGCTGGTATTTTATGAAAAGTGAGGATGAATTGTCCTGGCTGGATTTTACAGTTGAGTTTGCAGCAGCTGTTTATCTGCCAGGCCCAGCAAAGAGGCTCTGGGTACTTCCAGGTGCTTTGTAATCTGTTCCCCAACCTATGCTTTAAGGAAATACAGAACTGGGGGCTTTCCCAGGGGACAGGAGGTGAGGGAGTGGGAGGAAAAGAGAAGGGGAACCCAGGGAGCAGCAGTGTTTCTTGAACTTGAGACCTGGAGGTGGAGACAATGAGATACTTTCCACCTTCAACAAAAGCATGGCTAGCTATTACTGACCCGTGATCTAGACCCTTTCTCCCTGGCAGAAGCCACAAATTAGAGGGCCTCTTATTGTAATCAACTCACAGATGTGTTCTGTTTGGCCAGACATAGTGTTGTTGTTTTTTTAAAAATCTTTGAACCTGAATGTCTTTAGATGGGGCATACATTCTTGGTTCACCACAAATCCCACCACTCGCACACTATTTACCTGACACCACACACACTTACGTTACCTGGGTGGCCCCAAAGGCATTTGAGCTTGCAGCACCTGCTATGTTGTTTTCTTTCTTTTTCTTCTTTCCCCCCATAGTCAAATGCTTCTGGTCAAACGCTTTTTCATTTCTTATTGCAAAATAGTTCAGTAAAGAACTGGCTCGATTTTTCTGGGAAAATGTACGGCTTGCAGAGCTCAGCTTCACCTCGGAAGGGTTCACCGCCTCCAGAGCGTCCCTCCCAGCAATGCTGTATTTCCCTGAAGACAGGCGAGGCCTCTCTTGTCACACCTGCGCACACCTCAAGTCTAGTTTTTATGAACATTTCTGCGACTTAAGTCCATCATGTAATTGTTTCAGCCAGATCAATGGTCTAATTCCTTTAACCTGATCTATTCACTTAGAATGAATCACGTGATTTGACTTTTCTGTTTTTTGTTGTTTTCCCACTTCTCCATTTCTACAATCTTTGTATTTAACAATCTGCCAGAGAGATGCCAGGTGATTCCAACTGTCACCAGGACAGACTTCAAGTATTTGACAAGTATTAACCTCCTTACTTTTTATTTATTTATTTTGACCCTTTTTAAAAAATGGAGGTATAATTGACATATAGCATTACATTAAATTTCAGATGTGCAACATAACGATTACTTCCTTTTTATTTAAGTTGACCTCTTTACTCTGACCCAAATCCTTCTCCTTGCTCTTCCAGCAAAGATGGGAATAGAGGAACAGGCTTCATCTTAGCTTTACTAAGCATATATACTTCAAATGACTCTTAAAAATCAATATTTTGATGACTGAAGTGTAAATGAGTAAGCAACATGGAATAACTTTTCCCTTCAATCACATGAACAGAAATTCTGTGCGTTTTTATCAGAAACTCATGCAAAGTAGCCGGAGCATTTGCTAAATTCCAAGAAAAGGAGTTGATGCCTCTTCTCTTCCTAAGGCACCTTCCTAAGGACAGTCCCGATTCAAAATGGGCTTGGTGGCCTCTCCTGGCTTTGCTTATGCCTTTTCCTCTCTGAATTGCTATCAAACTGCTATTGCTCCTTTTTATATTAAGGATCTCAAATAGTGCACACAAAAGCAATCCTAGCTTCCACATAGATGGTACCATTTGGGCTTTGATTAGTGCTTGGTGCTGCTGAAATGGACCAGAGAACAAGGTTAAAAATTATTTGGCTTGGCCTGGCCAGTGTGGCTTAGTTGGTTGAGCATCATCCTGTACACCAAAAGGTGGCAGGTTCAATTTCCGGTAAGTACAGATACCCAGGTTAAGGGTTTGATTCCTGTTTGGGATGCATAAAGGAAGCAATTATCAATTTTCCTTCCTTCCTTCCTTCCTTCCTTCCTTCCTTCCTTCCTTCCTTCCTTCCTTCCTTCCTTCCTTCCTTCCTTCCTTCCTTCCTTCTTCCCTCCCTCTTTCTCTCCCTCCCTCTGGTATCCATTTTTTAAAAATTATTTGCATCAATTTCCCTTCTTAATAAGGAAATAAAGATATTTGTGTCCCAGATGTGGACTTCTCTTTTTCTTTTTAAGTCAGTTCTTCCTTTTATGTTGCTTATCACAGTATTTCAAGTAAGCTTGGGCCAAACAATGTGTTAGAATCTCCAGGAGGGGGAAACCTCACTTCTCCTTAACCTATTGTGCTCCTCAGCAGGCAACCTTGCCCAGCCAGGCCAGGAAGAAACTGGCCTACTAACTCTGTCCAGCACAGGGCTGTTCCATCAACCACCGCTGCCTCCTACCTCACCTGGGGCCTCTAGTTCCTCCAACCATTGCCAGGCGGAGGCAACTTGTTTTCCTGTTAGCATCAGTGATTGTATCTGAACGAGGCCTGCCATGACAGAGCAGGTCAGTTTTGGTGACATGTCCTCAATGAGGCTGCAGAAAGGAGGGCAAGGGGAGAGGTGCTGCAGAGTGGAGATGGCACTGTATCTAAGGCTGCTATTTCAGAGTCTATGCTCAGGTGTCTAAGTACTTGTGTGTTTTCTCTCAGGTCTCAGGGGTTTTGTAGACCGTAAAAGCAGTCCACAAGCTGAATCTACCAATGGTCATGCAGAGACATCAAGCAACTCTCATCCAGCCACTGAGAAAAACCGGTGAGTCTTAGCTGTAAAATGGCTCAGTCTCAAATTCAGTGGCTTGTTGGAGAGAGTGGAACCAGAAGTATTTCCTATCAGATTCTCCCATGGTAGAGGTCATTGCCGTGTGGGCAGTCTCTATTCTGTAGGGTAATCTGAAGACAGTGCTGCCACTTTTTACCGTTCTCTTCACGATAAAACCTGTACTTGGCCTCATTAGCTTAAAGCAGTGGTTCTCAAATGGGGACAGTTTTGTCCCTCTTCCGTCCCCTGGATTTTGGCAATGTTTGAAGACATTTTTGGTTGTCACAACTTTAGGGGGAGGAGTTGTGCTGATGGAATCAGTGAGTAGATGTTACAAGTCCTACAATACAGAGGACAGCCTCCCCCCCTCCCCCCAACAAAGAATTGGCTAGGCAAATGACAATAGTCCCAATTTTGAAAAACCTTGGATTTAACCTAAAGCAAAAAGGAAGTATCATTTCTTGTTTACCCAGGGATCTTAGTTAAAGATGAGTAGAGCAGAGCTTGCCCAGGGCCATAGTACACTGTTTTCAAAGTATACCTGAGCTGCTGAGGTCTGCAGAGGACAGTACACGGGCTGAATGTAGTCACTTTAAGGCCAGGCCAGGCTGTGACACCAAGCACTGGAGGCTCATGGAACTCAGGCTTCCTGTTCTTCAGGATGTGGTGAGGGCACAGCTCAGATTTTAGGATTAAGGAGGAAGGGGTTGGCAGTACAGGTTCCAGGCCCCATCACACACGTCACCATGAGGAGGAGGTAACTACAGGAAGGCATGAACCATGCAAAGGGAAGGTCCAACTAACTAGAATAAAGTTTGCCTCTCTTACTTACCCCTTAATTGACTATAGGAACACTCATTAAAAGTTTACTCCATTTTTAAATTTAAAAAAAAAATTTTTGACCCAGTGATCCCATTTTTGAAAATATATCCTAAGAATTCTGAAACAACAAACAGAAAGCATATATGCACCCCTCTGCTTGTAGCAGCCCTATTTATAGCAGCCCTACTTATAATAGCTAAGATTTGGAAGCAGCCTAAGTGCCCATCAGCAGATGAGTGGATAAAAAGCTGTGGTACATTTATACCATGGAACACTATGCACCAGTTAAAAAGAAGAATCTCTTACCCTTTGACACAGCATGGAGGGACCTAGAGCATATTATTAAGCAAAATTAGCCAGTCAGAGAAAGACAAGTATCACATGATATAATTGAACAAAATATGTAGAATCTATTTGAACAAAATAAACTGATGAACAAAATGATTCCAGAGATATGGAAGCATGGGACAGACTGTGGAATCTCAGAGGGAAGGCAGGGGTGGGTGGGTAAGAAGAGATCAACCAAAGAACTGGTATGCACGTATACACAACCCATGGACACAGACAGTAGTGCAGTGATGGCCTGGGGCGGGGGTGGGGGGAGAGAAGAGGGGGAGGAGTGGAAAGGGAGAGTGGGGAAGGGAAAGATCTGTAATACTCTTAAAAATAAAGATAAATTTAAAAATTTTACTCCAGATTTGGAGAATGAAGCAGGCCATTAGAAAGGTTTTTGTTGTTGTTGTTGTGGGTTTGTTTTGTTTTGTTTTGTTTTTGCATCTTTTCACTTGGAAAAAGAAGTGGTCTTCATTTGTAATTTTTAAAAATAATTTTTTGAAATATCTTATTAATATTTTTGAGATCTAACAAATTTAATTCTCGGTACTTTTCTCGTGGTCTCAAATTACTGTTGGACTACTGTTAAAGTAGACTCCTAAATAGTAAGAATAGCTCATTTTTTAAAGGCAGTTGAGGAGCTATTATAGACTAAGATTTCATAGTAGGTTAACAAAATTTAGAATTTCTGTTGCAGCAGAAAGACGACTGAACTTGGTAGGTGGAAGACTTGGGTTTTGGTCCTAGTGTAAGGTGACCAGATGTCCCACTTTTTAACAATCTTTCCCGCGTCCCATGCCTTTTAAAAAAGTCCCGATTTTTTGAAAGATTGGGACTTTTTTAAAACGCTGCGGGACAGATTGTTAAAAATTGGAACTGCCCAGCCAAAAGCTGGATGTCTGGTAACCTTATCCTAGTGGTAACATTTTCCAGCTCTTTGTCCTTGGGCAAGTGAGTGAACCAGTCTGGTAAATGGATCCAGCCCCAGCATGACTCCCCTCAACCTCAGCTGATGACTAACCTTGGTATTATTTTTTTAAATATATTTTATTGATTTCAGAGAGGAAGGGAGAAGGCGAGAGAGACAGAAACATCAACGATGAGAGAGAATCATCGATAGGCTGCCTCCTGCACGCCCCACACAGGGGATTGAGCCTGCAACCCAGGCATGTGCCCTGACCAGAAATCAAACTGTGACCTCATGGTTCACAGGTCAGTACTCAACCACTGAACCATACCAGCCAGGCAGACAACTAACTTCACTCAGAATATCAGGACAGTTCTGTGTGAGCAACTTCCACTTCCCTTCCCTTCACCTTAGAATCTCTCCTTATATTCAGCTGTCTTTTCTCCCTTTACTCCCATCTCAAAAGACCACAGTCCTCTTCCTCACCCGGGTAACCCCTTCTGTTGTGTTCCTGCCCTCTAGGCCCTGCCACCATCAGTTAGCCCACCCCTTGCTTTCTCATGTCTCTGCTTGCTGCTTCTTTCCCTTTTGCTTATACCTCTCCCATTCTAACAAAGCTTGCTCTTGGCCCTGTCCCTCCTTACTTTTACCACCAGACTTCCTCAGACAAGCATCCAGGTCAGTTGCCTCACCAACCCCTCCCTCCTTAGTCCTAAAATCTGATCTGTGCCCACACCACATCCTAAAACTGTCCTTAGGAAGGTTAGCTCCCTGTTGCTGGAGCCTCATCTTCATCAGACTCGGCAGCAGTCCATTCTCGGGCCATGCTTTCCTGGGACCGCACTCTCCCACGGGTGTCTGTGATACTGCCATCTTCAGGTTCTTCCTCCAAGTTGTCCTCGGTCTCCATCCTTCTCCTCTTCCACCCGGCACTGAAATGCAGGCGATTCTCAGGTCCTCAGCTTTCTTCTTTCTTCCTTTCCACCTGGATGATATCTTCTTTCACAGGTGTATTCTGGTATCAACTCTAAACTGTGCCGTCAGCATGGTTCTCAGATCTCTGTTCTGAGCATTATACTTTTACACCCAAAGCCTGTTGCCCATGTATTCCTGATTTACATCCCAGAGTCTCAAGAGAAAGGCCCTCTTCTCTCTCCACCCCCCACCCCCCAAGCAACTCACCTCCTTCACCTGGCCTTCCCATTCTTGTGAGTGGCACAAACACTTTCTTGTGTCCTGGCCTTCAAACCTGGCAGTCATTTTTGATCCCCACCTCTCAACCCCAGCCTCAATCATTTTCTTAGCATTCTTCCATGGTCCAGGCCTGCCATTATCTCTTTTTCTCTCTCTGTTCTCTCCTCATTACAGATCAGCTTTCATTTCTGACACCTGATCAATTGCCCTGAAGCACAGTCTGACTTTTCAAAGAAGTTTAATGGCTCCCATTTTAGACTAAAAGAGGTCCAGACTTCTCAGTCTGTTATACTAAGCCTCTCCCTATCTTGCTCCAATTTGTCCTTCAGCACACCTCCTGTATGACCCTCTATGCACCCTCTGGACCCTGTATGGCTACCTGGAGCCAGACTTTATATTGTCCTACCAATGCATCTACCTCTGTTCGCTCTGCTCATTCCTTTCTGTTCAATTCTTACCTATTTTTCCAAGATACATTGTCATATCCCTTTTATCCGTGAAGACCTTCATTCTCTTTAATTCTTGAACCTTTAATAGCAAGTTTTAAAAGTACTTACTCAAAGCGCAAGACAAAATAATGAGCCTGTGTCTGAATGTAAATCAAACCACTTATATCTTCAATAAGAAAGTCTTGCTACCAATAAACATATAATCAGCTAAACTAAACAAGGTACTTGGTGATGAATTGGCTTATATCTGGCACAAGCTCCTTGTGATACTGTGAGTGTTAACAGTTCACAGATGGGGTCCACAGACCACGCTTTGGTTAGTTCCTCTCTGCGGCATTTCACGTTTGCCTAGTATTGGGGTTGACTGTGTGCTGGCGGGTCAGCTTCTCAAGGGCAAGGACTGAGTCTTCCCTCTTCCTGTTTCCAGTGCATGCAATGAGGTTATCAAGAGTGGCAATATCCAAGACAACTCTTCAGAATTCAGATATTTTCTCCTTTTCTTATTTTTATTTTTCAATTACCATTTACATTCAATCTTATTGTGTATTAGTTTCAGGTGTACAGCATAGTAGTTAGACAATCACATATTTTACAAAGCAATCCCTCTGATGTTCCCAGTACCCACCTGGCACCAGACATAGTTATTACAACATTATTGACTATATTCCCTATGCCGGTGGTCGGCAAACTGCAGCTCTGTTGACTAATGAGTTTGCCGACCACGGCCCTATGCGGTACTATACATCCCCATGACCGTTTTGTAATTACCAATTTGTACTTCTCAATCTCTTCACCTTTTTTCACCCAGTTCCCCAACCCCTCTAACAACCATCACAGAATTCAGATTTTTACGAGAGAAATGTTCTTCCTTCTTCATTTTTGGGTGGTGGCAGCAACAACAAGGCCCAGAAAAATTCACCAGATAGTGTGTCAGGACCTTCCAGCCCCAGGGGCTGGGCCCCACTTTCCCTCTGTATTTGATGGTCTCCTCAGTGCCATCAACCCAGGGATTGAAAGGAAGGATGTCGTGGAGTGGAGGCTTGATGGGCTTAATAAGGATAAGTGGGCCAGGACCGGTTTGGCTCAATGGATAGAGCGTCGGCTTGGGGACTGAAGGGTCCCCGGGTTCGATTCCGGTCAAGGGCATGTACCTTGACTGCGGGCAGATCCCCAGTAGGGGGTCTGCAAGAAGCAGCTGATCGATGACTCTCTCTCATCGATGTTTCTAACTCTGTGTCTCTCTCCCTTCCTCTCTGTACAAAATCAATAAAATATATTTAAAAAAAAAA